GCTCCCCGGGCTCCCCCTCCTTGTCCTCGGCGGAGAAGCTTTCTCGGGCATCGAAAAACGTGAGCGCTTCTGCCTGGGGCGTGGCCTCCGCTGGGCCCGGCTCGTCCCCAGCGCTCTCGCTCTTCCTGCTGGGGGCCGAGGAGAACCCTAATCTGGGGAATCGGAACCAGCCCGCCTTCTCCGGCTTCTTGGGCAGCTCGGCCGCCGGGCGGGCCTCGGGCTGCGTTTGGACCGGAGCTGGTGTTGGTTCCTCTTCTGTGGCTGCGGTGCTGGTGTCCTCGGTGGCCGCGGAGGAGAACCCGATGCTCGGAAGCCAAAACCGGAACCGCCCGGAGGACCGTTTGCTTTCCGGCTTCTCCCTGGCATCCCCGTCTCCCTCTCGGCCTTCTTCAGGGGGGAATTCGAGGATTTCCGCGGGCTCCTCGTCGTCGGAACCGCTGTCTGCAGGCTGGAGGCCCGAGCTCCCTTCCGACGTGGCCGTCTGTGGTCCCTCGTCGGTGCCAGAAGAGATGATTTCAAACGTCTCTGTGTCGGGCTGCAGGGCTCCAGGCCCCCGGTCAGCTCCCAGGGCCCCTCGGTCACCTTGGGAAGCGGCTTGGCTGCCCTGAGTGACCACCTGCACCTGGCACCGCAAGGGGCTCTCGGGGACCTTCCCCTTGAGCAAGGAGAACCCGTAAGAAGGCGTCTGGACCTCGGAGGCCGGGATCTCCGACTCCCGGACGATCTGAGTGGAGCCAGCCTGGGGTCCCGGCCAGTCAGCAGGCTCTGCCAGGACCCTGCTGTGTATGGTGACCTCCCGGCTCTCCACCCGGGCACCTTGAATGTGGACTCTGACCTTGGAAATGGGGCTGGCCTCCGCGGGGAGGTCCAGGACCACCGGCTGCTGCCCGGGGTCCACAGCGCCGGCCTGCAGGAGGCTCACGCCCCACACCCCAGGGTGCTCCTTGCTCAGGGCCAGATCCAGGCTGCTGTCCGGGCACCACACCTCTCGCACGGCCGGGGGGATGAAGATGTCAGCCTCGCCGCTGGGGGCCGGGAAGGTGAACCTGGGCACCTTTAACTTGGGGAACTTGACAGTGAGCACAGAATCCTCCCAGACCCGACCCACGATGGAAATTTGGGCTGGCACGTCTGTCCTCGAAGCCTTCAGTCTGAGAGGGCCTTCCGGTGGGGGAGACGGGTGCTCAGTGCTCCCTGCCCCTCTGGCAGGAGGAGCTTGGGTTTCTGAAAGTCTCCCTCCAGGCATCTGAAGGGAAAGGGGGCCTTCGCCTGGACCCAGCCGGGCCTGAGAAGTGGGAGGCTCATCGGGGGACATGCTGGCAGGAGGCAGGTGCAGCTCTGAGCCTGGGGCTGGGCTGTGCAGACCTCCCCTGAGAGCTTCCGCCGCATCCGCCTCCACCTCTGCCTCTGGGGGCGATGGGGCCACGGCTGCCTCCGCCTCTGACCCAGGAGCACAGACCCCTGGACTCTTGGCTGCAGCGGGGGCCTCCCCTTCCCTCGGTGCCCCCGCCGCCCCCTGCTCCTTCGAGGAGCGCCAGAAGCTGGGCAGGCGGAGCGAGGGCATCCTGAACCAGCTGTCCTGCGAGCTGGCCCGCT